TTAAAATTACATTTGAACCATTTCATTTGTTTGTTTACTATACAGAAAATCAACACTTCGTGTGAAACATTTTCATGATAATTGTTTTCAAGGAAGTAAAAATCTCATATAACATGAAGTACAAGTGAAGAAGAATTATTCCTTAATTACATCAGATAATTCTCAGAACTGTACAGACCATACTCTAGACTCTAGTTACCCCACTTTTATGTTCATCTTAAGTGTTAAGTATTAAATTCATTTTATTCCTGCTCAATAAATAATTACACAATATTTTAGCATCTTACTTTAATACGTTCAATATAATACATTTCTGATAACGAAGTTATTGTACACAGTAAATCATTTATTTTTTAAAAGCATATTTTAAACCTTTCAATCTTCAATTCAAAATCGAAATTAGATTCTGTTTTCTGCACATCTACATCTGAAACGTTTAAACGTATTTTAATCTCCATTCAGGAACAGGAAATACTGTTGTTACTACACAAGGTACTGCCATCACAACTGCAGTACAATGCATAGAATCAATTGGCATGGATGATGCACAGAAGATTGATGAGGAAAATACCAAAGTATTGAATAACCAAGATGACTTCAGTGGAGTACAACCAAACCTGGATGCTTTGAAAGATAATGATCCAAACACAAAACTCCAAGCACAATTTAAACCATCGACTGAACCTAAAGAGTTAAACATATCAACAAAACTGAAAACTGACGTGTCTGTTCCAATTACCAAAGTGGAATTAACAGGCATGGAAAATGTTGCATCAGTTACTGTCATTATCAAGGATGAAAATGGTGAAATAGTGACAGAGGTATGAATGCGTGACGTTTTTGAAACTCCCTGAAACTAAAATATAATAGATATCCGAGAGTGGAACACATGCTTTTCCTTGTAATTAATTTAAAGAATGCTAAATATGATTTCATTTTTATTTTTGTCAAGATGGTTTAAGATTATTTCAAAAACAAAGTATTGTAATTATGTAATTTATTTGGTTTCTTTTAGACACCCAAAACAACTGTTGATGTTGATTCTGCAATTGTAAATCTTGAGAATACTGAAGGGGTTGAAATCATTGTGATCTTCACTTCAAAACCAAATGATATGCCCATGGAGATTGGAGATTTGAGACCAACTGCTTGCTTGAAAATACAAACAACACCCGGAGCAACGACTGTACCATCAACATCCCAGGGTACAAATATTTTATAAACATAAAGCATGCCTGAGTTTTATAGTTAAATAGAAGATTCCATCATTTTTAAAAGCCAATCTTATACCTATATCCAGTGAAGCAATGGATAATTAAAGCCGAAAATCCAGCTAGTACAGTGGTACAATTCCAAACCATATCCTTAAATCGAGTAAAGCTTCTATTGCGCTTATCATTGGTGTAAAATGAACTTACTTAACACAATTCTTCATTTAAGTCTATAATGCAAGAGAAAGCTGAGCATAAATCTTAATTCTAAAATATACATTAATTTCAGTTTCTACTGTACCAAGCACTTCCTCGCCTAGTACATTAACGTCAGCCTCTACAACACAGCCATCCACGGGTTAGTATATCCAAAAATGGTGATGAAGTTTCGATATTTCCTCTTAAAATATAGAATCGGTAACGTCGAAATCAAATGTTTTCCAATAAAAATGTTACTGATAGCACTAGTCAATGCTTGATTTCGAGATTCTAGAAGATATGCACTTTATTTATTTTCCAGCTTAAAATAACATTTGAACCATTTCATTTGTTAGTTTACTATACAGAAAATCGACACTACGTGTGAAACATTTTCATGATAATTGTTTTCAAGGAAGTAAAAATCTCATATAACATGAAGTACAAGTGAAGAAGAATTATTCTTAAATTACATCAAATAATTCTCAGAGCTGTACAGACCATACTCTAGACTCTAGTTACCCCACTTTTATGTTCATCTTAAGTGTTAAGTATTAAATTCATTTTATTCCTGCTCAATAAATAATTACACAATATTTTAGCATCTAACTTTAATACGTTCATTATAATACATTTCTGAAAACGAAGCTATTGTACACAGTAAATCATTTATTTTTTAAAAGCATATTTTAAACCTTTCAATCTTCAATTCAAAATCGAAATTAGATTCTGTTTTCTGCACATCTACATCTGAAACGTTTAAACGTATTTTAATCTCCATTCAGGAACAGGAAATACTGTTGTTACAACACAAGGTACTGCCATCACAACTGCAGTACAATGCATAGAATCAATTGGCATGGATGATGCACAGAAGATTGATGAGGAAAATACCAAAGTATTGAATAACCAAGATGACTTCAGTGGAGTACAACCAAACCTGGATGCTTTGAAAGATAATGATCCAAACACAAAACTCCAAGCACAATTTAAACCATCGACCGAACCTAAAGAGTTAAACATATCAACAAAACTGAAAACTGACGTGTCTGTTCCAATTACCAAAGTGGAATTAACAGGCATGGAAAATGTTGCATCAGTTACTGTCATTATCAAGGATGAAAATGGTGAAATAGTGACACAGGTATGAATGCGTGACGTTTTTGAAACTCCCTGAAACTAAAATATAATAGATATCCGAGAGTGGAACACATGCTTTTCCTTGTAATTAATTTAAAGAATGCTAAATATGATTTCATTTTTATTTTTGTCAAGATGGTTTAAGATTATTTCAAAAACAAAGTATTGTAATTATGTAATTTATTTGGTTTCTTTTAGACACCCAAAACAACTGTTGATGTTGATTCTGCAATTGTAAATCTTGAGAATACTGAAGGGGTTGAAATCATTGTGATCTTCACTTCAAAACCAAATGATATGCCCATGGAAATTGGAGATTTGAGACCAACTGCTTGCTTGAAAATACAAACAACACTCGGAGCAACGACTGTACCATCAACATCCCAGGGTACAAATATTTTATAAACATAAAGCATGCCTGAGTTTTATAGTTAAATAGAAGATCCCATCATTTTTAAAAGAAAATCTTATAACTATATCCAGTGAAGTAATGGATAATTAAAGCCGAAAATCCAACTAGTACAGTGGTACAATTCCAAACCATATCCTTAAATCGAGTAAAGCTTCTATTGCGCTTATCATTGGTGTAAAATGAACTTACTTAACACAATTCTTCATTTAAGTCTATAATACAAGAGAAAGCTGAGCATAAATCTTAATTCTAAAATATACATTAATTTCAGTTTCTACTGTACCAAGCACTTCCTCGCCTAGTACATTAACGCCAGCCTCTACAACACAGCCATCCACGGGTAAGTATATCCAAAAATGGTGATGAAGTTTCGATATTTCCTCTTAAAATATAAAATCGGTAACGTTGAAATCAAATGATTTCCAATAAATTTTTTACTGATAGCACTAGTCAATGCTTGATTTCGAGATTCTAGAAGATATGTACTTTGTTTATTTTCCAGCTTAAAATTACATTTGAACCATTTCATTTGTTTGTTTACTATACAGAAAGTCGACACTACGTGTGAAACATTTTCATGATAATTGTTTTCAAGGAAGTAAAAATCTCATATAACATGAAGTACAAGGGAAGAAGAATTATTCCTAAATTACATCAGATAATTCTCAGAACTGTACAGACCATACTCTAGATTCTAGTTACCCCACTTTTATGTTCATCTTAAGTGTTAAGTATTAAATTCATTTTATTCCTGCTCAATAAATAATTACACAATATTTTAGCATCTAACTTTAATACGTTCAATATAATACATTTCTGATAACGAAGCTATTGTACACAGTAAATCATTTATTTTTTAAAAGCATATTTTAAACCTTTCAATCTTCAATTCAAAATCGAAATTAGATTCTGTTTTCTGCACATCTACATCTGAAACGTTTAAACGTATTTTAATCTCCATTCAGGAACAGGAAATACTGTTGTTACAACACAAGGTACTGCCATCACAACTGCAGTACAATGCATAGAATCAATTGGCATGGATGATGCACAGAAGATTGATGAGGAAAATACCAAAGTATTGAATAACCAAGATGACTTCAGTGGAGTACAACCAAACCTGGATGCTTTGAAAGATAATGATCCAAACACAAAACTCCAAGCACAATTTAAACCATCGACTGAACCTAAAGAGTTAAACATATCAACAAAACTGAAAACTGACGTGTCTGTTCCAATTACCAAAGTGGAATTAACAGGCATGGAAAATGTTGCATCAGTTACTGTCATTATCAAGGATGAAAATGGTGAAATAGTGACAGAGGTATGAATGCGTGACGTTTTTGAAACTCCCTGAAACTAAAATATAATAGATATCCGAGAGTGGAACACATGCTTTTCCTTGTAATTAATTTAAAGAATGCTAAATATGATTTCATTTTTATTTTTGTCAAGATGGTTTAAGATTATTTCAAAAACAAAGTATTGTAATTATGTAATTTATTTGGTTTCTTTTAGACACCCAAAACAACTGTTGATGTTGATTCTGCAATAGTAAATCTTGAGAATACTGAAGGGGTTGAAATCATTGTGATCTTCACTTCAAAACCAAATGATATGCCCATGGAGATTGGAGATTTGAGACCAACTGCTTGCTTGAAAATACAAACAACACCCGGAGCAACGACTGTACCATCAACATCCCAGGGTACAAATATTTTATAAACATAAAGCATGCCTGCGTTTTATAGTTAAATAGAAGATCCCATCATTTTTAAAAGCCAATATTATACCTATATCCAGTGAAGTAATGGATAATTAAAGCCGAAAATCCAGCTAGTACAGTGGTACAATTCCAAACTATATCCTTAAATCGAGTAAAGCTTCTATTGCGCTTATCATTGGTGTAAAATGAACACAATTCTTCATTTAAGTCTATAATACAAGAGAAAGCTGAGCATAAATTTTAATTCTAAAATATACATTAATTTCAGTTTCTACTGTTCCAAGCACTTCCTCGCCTAGTACACTAACGTCAGCCTCTACAACACAGCCATCCACGGGTTAGTATATACAAGCATGATGATGAAGTTTCTTTCGATATGTCATATTTGACTGCCGCATATGCTTTTATCTCAGCTCATCAACAGTGACTGAGCGTAATGATTTAAAAGTTGTCCTTTTCACTATTGCTCCAACAAACATAATGCCATCGCACATCTAGCACTCTGCTTGCTATTCGTATGTACTGTGACCACCGACGCAGTTTGCGTTACCATCGGGCAGCATTTTTATGTTGTTTGTTACTCTTACTACCATATGCGTAACATTAATCTGGTTTCTATGAATTGAAATGTTTCCCAATAAATTTCACTTATTACCCCAATCAATGCTTGTTTTCTATAGTGTAGAACCAAATATTGATATTGCCAAAAAATAAGATTTATTTGAATTTTTGAAAAAATTGATGCAACCTCCTTCAAAATTGAGCTAGAAGCTTAAAATAAAAAGCATTTTAAGGCTATTTTCTTATTCTTTCTCATGGTTTTTATTTTTGGTTATTGGTAGGGGGATGCAGCTATCGCACCCCCCCCCCCCCCCCTGGCTACGCCTATGCTATTGGGATTTCATTAAAAATCGTTAATTCCAGAATGAAATATTTTGTCAAGAACCATATGATATACTACATCTACAAAGTACAGATGTTGTCACAAAATAAACATCTTAGAGTACAATAAGGAAAAGAACTCATTATTCAAAAGGAAGGAAAATAAATCGAATGCACTAAGCCATCTCTCCCTTTTTACATATGTATTATCATTGTTGACGTATAAAACAATCGTATAACTATTACACACAATATATATTTATTCTACAATCACATGAATATTTCAACATTGTTTGATTAACATAATCTCATATATTTATAGCTGCGTCCACAATGGTCACTACAGCAGCTTCTACTCCTGGTATGTAATTCAGGGTGACAGGAAAAAGGAGGCCATTGAAGTAGGCAATATCTCCTTAACAAGTGGCATTAAAGAAATTTCTCACACAACAGAACCGTTCTATGGGAATTTGTTCCAGAAAGTTTCAAAACAATCATTTCACTGGTTTAAGAGCTTTGATCATTTTCATTACTTGCTGCAATTTGCCACAATTGAGACCAAGACAGAATTGAATTCATATGGATACCCTTACATACGGTATTCAGCTCTTGTAATGGCATTACATTAAGCAGTGATTGCCTTCTTTAGGTCAGCAATTGTCTGGGAATTGTTTTGGTATACACTTTGTCTTTCAAAAAGTCCCATAAAAAGAAACCAGGTGGATTCAAGTATATGCTGTGTGGAGATGAAGGATCATCTAATCAATGGTTTATGATCCTGTTGCCAAAATGTTGATTTACCCAATCTAGTAAGTCATTTAGGTATTGGGAGTAGTGCCATCTTGCTAAAATCACTAAATGGCACAATTACATCCAATGTGGCAACCAATGGCTGCCCAAAATTTCCTTAAATTGATACTGTATCTGAGTAACGCCACTCCATACACTCCAAACTTGAATCCACCTAATTTGTTTTTGTGGGGCTATTTGAAAGACAGTGTAACAAAACAATCACCAGACAATTGCTGATCTAAAAAGGCAATCACTGCTAAATGTAATGCCATTACAGGAGCTGAATATGTAAGGGTATCTTGCCATATGAATCCAGCTCTGCCTTGGTCTCAATTGAGGCAAATTGGAGCAAGTAATGTAAATGAGCACACTTACTGATCCAGTTGACTGGTTGCATTGAAACTTTCAGGAACGAATTGCCATAGAACTGTCCAGATGTGTGCAAAATTTCATTGATGTCACTAGTTTAGGAGATATTGCCTACTTCAATGGTCTCCTTTTCCTTGTCACCCTGTATATTAAAAAATATTTTGGATAGGTTAATAGAGAGGTTTCGGTATAAGTTTTCAGGCGAACTTAAACTGCAACTTCAACTCCCAATTGACGAAACCCCACTTGGGAGGAACATTTCTCGAAGAAACGAGGAAAGTACTTTCCCTTGTTTCCAAATCAAGGGAATCAATTTGTGAATATCCCAGCAATTACGGTATCAAGTTCTAAGTTGAGATCATATTTTGCAACCGGGACTTCAAACTTCCCAAATATTGGAAGGATAAAAAGAACCTTAATTCCTAGTTCCTCCCCAGTGCTTTACTTGCCCACGTCTCGCTATAGAGGGTGTTACAAAACATGGACTATTAGTGATAAATCTCCGAATGAAGTTCAAATGCATACATGTATACCATTTGTAACTTTTAAACTGTATTTATTGTCACATGTGTCAAATATCTTGGTCTAAAATATACTACTAGGTTCCTGTATGATATATAAGTCATTATAGGTCTGTTTTATCTCAAATTGACTTTGGAGATGGACATTATGAACCATGGCTTGCTCCAAGCATCGCGAACACAGATTAGATTGATTAGTTTATTAAATTTGTAGTCAACGTGTTTGATCGGACACTTAACATATTCAGCTTATTAACGTTAGATAGGGCTCATCGTCACTTGGTCGACACTCATGAGCAGGTTATGCATGGTTTACGTGAAGATCCAATTTTATAAGTTTACCACCATAATGTATTGTGTATTCATAGTTGCACAAGCTGTTGACAATGAATTGTTTTTCAATTTCCTTTATAAGATAATACGTGACAAACGAAAGAGTTACAATGGATGGAAAAATGTTCCAATGTGTACATTATATTATAACTTTGCTATGTTGTCCGAGAAACAAATGCATAAATCTACTCGTATGCGTACATACGAGGGGTGATCCAAAAGTATATGTTCATAAATATTATTTATATTTACTAAATATAGGTACCACAGTACAGCCACCATCTTGCAATTCTGAAAATGGTGAATACTTGGCAACATGTAGCGAGACAAATCGATATTGCCCGGATGTTAATATGACAGGTAAGTTCCATAAAGCCACATTCAACCAAGGCGTCGTGGCAAGAGAATTCCTCATGAACAGATATACAGTACAAATGTTAACCCGCTCTACCATTATTCAATCTGAGCTATAGATATAGCTGGTCAAAATAATTTGGCCCTTGAGATTCTTGTTCAGAGAATACATCAGATACTGCTCGTTGGAAGAGTATTGCCAAGATTTTTTGCGGTATTTCCCCTTCTTGCCCTGCTTTCATTATAAAAATATTATAAAAATATTACAAACGCCCGCGAGGGTTTCATTTTGAAATATTGGAGAGTTTAAGCTATAAATCGAAACGGCAACGTGTACAAATTGCCAATATGCAAATACATGTAGCTTCCTCACTTAAATAGCCAATCGGGCTTCAGTGTTTGTTTAGACTACACCGCAGTATGTGATACGCCATTGGTAGTTCTATAACTGGTTTTCTGATACACATTTCAATCAGGCTAGTTTGGTAAGATGGTCGGAGCTAAAACATGCATGACACATACCATCTTCTTCAGAACGAATTCTACTTTGTATCGAAATCAAAATTACCAGCCTATGGCAATAGATAGACACGAGACACGAACTTTGGATTTTTCGCGTCCTAAACACGAATCTCTGAAGCTGAATGGGTACCTATCTGAAGTAGACTAACTAGCGCTTGTTTTGTATGCGCACTATGTATTGCTATATTGTTACATGTGTTTTCCGGTCACGGTTGCGTTGTAAAAAAAACATTGCAAGCTTAAACTCTCCATTGTTTCAGTATCACAAGAAAACAATGAAGTGACAACATTTATCTGATAATCCACATCAGGAAACACTGGTTGAATATGAATCTAAAGCAACTTTGAGTTTTATTCTATACAATGGTCCCCGTCTCATTTTTGATTATTTCAAAAACATTATATAGAATGATATTGTGACTGTGATTTTGATACTTCAGACGACAGTAACTATCTGGAATGCTGTATGTGCCAAAATGGAAGGCTTTTCAATGATGAAGGAAAATGTGTAGAGCCATGGGCCTGTACTACATGTGAACTAAATATTGACGGGAATGTGAGTAGATGCATATTGTTGCATTCGACAATAACATCTTTTTGATTTGATTTTCTCCCATTACTTACCATTACTTACCATGTACAGTCATATTTAACCCTTGCCTAACCCTCCTGGCCCAGTTATCTACTCCCTGATGTCGGAGATCATAACTTGCTAGAACGCATGCGTGATACAGGGTGACCAAAAAGGGAAACCCTTGAAGTAGACAATATCTCCTAAACTAGACAAGTCATATCAATGAAATTTAGTACACACCAGAACAGTTTATGAAAAATTATTCCTGAAAGTTTCAATATAACCAGTAAACTGGTTCAGGAACTGTCAGCATTTATATTACATGCTTCAAATGTTATGCCATGGTTGAATTGGGTAAGGGTTATTGACAATTTAGCCATATGAATGCATCTCTGCCCTTTGCTCAGTTGCTACCATTGACGGCCAGTCGCGGCCAATGGTCTCCTTCTTTCTGGTTACCCTGTATTTATGCTTTGTCACAAGGAGGGTTGGATCCGAGGGTTCCAACTCAATCCACCTTGACTTTATTCCACCTTGATTTGCGTGCTCAATACTTTAAACGTTTTCGTTTCGATGTTATATGCAAGCTAACATCCCTATACCTTCTTATTACAGATGGTTAACATGCCATTGTACACACAGTTTGACGAACTTGTATCTGGAACAGAAGACTGTACAAGAAAATGTGAATTCAACGATGAAAGTTGTAACAAGACGTGTATGGAAAACGTCATATGCAAAACCACTCCAACTTGTGCTGAGGTATGCATTTGGAAGATTTTGTGAAGACAAGACACATTTAGAAAAACGATTTCAAAACTGATGGTTATCAACATATTATGCCATTCGAGAATTGAATTGTTTAGTTTAATTACTAGTGTTTAATGGAGCCGAAATCTTGAATAAACCAACGCAAAATCTATTTTAGGGCACTATCATGGTGACGGATGTCAACGGTTTACCAATATGCCAACGAGGTGAGTGAATGAAATTAAAAAAATCACCTGTGCACTACTGTAGATTTTCTCATGGTGGTCTTTTTATATACCAACGAGTACTTGAATAAGGTAATAGAATAGGAAGAATTGTGAAACTCCTAGAAATTAGGTTTGACTGCGATTACAGTTTTTTAAATTAATTACAAGAGGAAATACAAAATAATTCATAGAAGGATTTGTCTCAATGTAAAAATGAACCTATAAAAATACACCTTGTTCAACTAGGAATTCTGGCATATTAACTCCTCTAAAATTGAATATTCCCGAAAACCAGCTGCAAAATATAGGATAAAACAGGAATTTATAAGATTGTTTGATATATTCTAGTTTTGTTCCCTAGCAGATTCTAACATTGCAATAATTCCTCTTTCATTTTACAAAAATAAGTGAACTGTTTTTCAGTGACTACTGCAAGTTATACAACCAGCACGACACCACCCGCCGAATGTGACTCGTGTGGGGAAGGCCAAATATCTTGTGAAGATAGCTGTTCTTGTTACACTCCTGATCAAAAGTGCGACGGCAAAGAAGATTGCTTGAATGGTCTTGATGAGCTTGGTTGCGACTGCACAGAAAAAATGCCCAATGGGACCAATGTGTACATAGAAGTAAGTTTTATTGATGAAGCCTTTTGTTTTCTGAAACAGGGGTGTGAATGAAGAACGCTATTTTCTCAATCTTATGAGTTGGAAGTTAAATTTCGATTCGATACCAGACTCCATAATATTTCCTGTTCACCACTGTACTTGAATGGTCAACAGTAGAAATATTAGTGGCGATAAAATAAAGTGTTTTAATTAATTAATTACAGAATGGAGGCGGGCTTCAGTGGAATGAATGTACTTATTGCGAATGTAGTAATGATAGTCCCGATGGAAAATGTGTCAAGACATGTAATAAAACGTGTGAAGAAGGAGAGACCCTTGATGCTCACTTTGGCTCGACAGATTGCTGTGAATGTACAAAAGGTGTGTATACTTTATGGAATAGATAAAACCAAACTAACCGGCCTCGATTCAATATTTGATTGAAGCTAGCACTGATTATCGCTTATTGTCATGGTAACGAATATGTTATTGTCAGAAACTACCACTTCTTTTTTTATCTCCCTTCATTTCCAACTGCAATGGTTGTATATGACGAGTAATCAAATTCATGCATTTAAAAACACTATAATTTTCATGAATTTTTTCCTCGCTATTTTAAAGGACTGGTATCGATATGGCGAACTAAATAGAACACATGCTTCTCTTAAACCAGTCATCAAAACATTCTGAAAATTTTACACATCGTCAATTTAATGATCATATTTAAATTTACTTTGGCAACAATTTAATTCTTTATATTGTTTTAGAAAACACGTCAGACACTTCCATTGTTCTTTGTATCATATGTCCGGAATGAAATGAGACATCTATCCGTACCTCATTGGAACAAAAAGACATATACCACCCCATGCAGACAGATCGCCTAAAATTACATTCGTTTGATGCGAGACTCGACATTCACCAGGAAACTTAAAATATTTTTGACCCATGACGCAAATTAACTTTGAAAAGTGATGGCGGTGATTTAAATTACTATGTAGATAGACTATGAAACCGCAACGAAATATTTGTAGCTTTCTTTGAAAAACTAAGAAATATACATCACATATCGACTTTTTCAAAACAGACAAAAACATGTATAAATATAGTAAGGCCTGCAGGTCCGATTCCCTCTGGTATCATTACATTGGTCTCGTGTATGTCAATTAACATTTGAAACACAACTATTATTCGAACTTATGAGCAGATATAAGTATGATGTTACTTCAATCCTCAGCAGTTTTTACAAACATATATGTCATGTAAAGTTTAGATGAACTGAGCTTCAGTGCGTTCTTATAATTCATATTGTATTCTTTATTCAGGGGAGGGACTAAGCTTTAAGCTCTTTCCCCGAGCCTATGGCCCTTTCGGGGTCCATATCATTCCTTGTAGTATATCCATGATCTGTCGTTTGTTTGTTCACCGTCTTATTATACACCTTAATTGAGAGAACAACTTCCATGTTTTTTGGATTCAGCAGAGAAATTAACTGCACAAAGAAGCAGTTGCCATAGTAACAAGTAAAGCGTATCCAGTCATGTTTTGCATAACACATACCCATGATGTAATGTTTATATCCCTAGAATATAAAAAAATATTCCTTCAATAATGATGGACATATAGGAGCTTTTATACCCGAGCCCATTGGTGGTATTTCAGGGGAGTAAATCGGAAAAGTCCCCTTGCACTGAGAATTGGGAACTAAAATTTCAGGAACCAATTCCCTGTTGTATGGCCTAAATGATCATACCAGTTAACATTTTTAGACAACATCACACGAAAATACCCCATCACATACTGCAGTTTATGTACATGATATTTCATTTCAAATATGTTTGCATCATGGTCTCACTCAATGGACATATAGTACTGCATTCCGAGGCCTCGAGATGTATTAGTCGAGACGAACATATAGAGTGTGGAAAAGTCGACTGCGCAATTATAAAATACATTAATTAAAATCACTATTTGTTGTTTCAGAAAACACAACCGCTCGCTGTCAACCTGGTGATCCGGGTTATCCCCGGTTATGCAAAGATAGTGATTGTGATCCTGTCAAAAATACTAGCTGCGTATATGTCAGACCACCTCCATGCGAAACAAGCATTGTATCTACCATCATCAACAAACAAGGCATTTTCGTGATAACACCAGATCTTGCGACAAAAGCACTGAGTGGCTTTACATCTGATGCAAGTTACTCCGATATTAACCTTGCCGATGGTATAAGTAAGTACATTGTTTAAAAAACCACTTCAACTATGGAGTACTTAAAACATACAACTACACTCCCCTCCATAAGTTTGGCAACCTTTTTTCCCCATTGAACTATGTGTTAAAGCCTCTTTACGTTTGAATTTTTATTTACTTAACCGGCGATGAAATAACTTATAATATTGATGGAAACGTAACTTGACTTTATTTCCAATACCTCCAAATTTTCTCAATTTTTTTCCTCAATTACAATTGGTCGGAAATTGATGATAAATTTGATGAATTTTTGAAAATCGTCATTCCCATGTAATCCAATGGGAAATGGAGGGTTCGGGGCAAATCAGAAATCAGGATATCTTTTCAGTAAAAGATTCAGCAAAAAATATTTTTATATAGAAAATTGAATTGTCTAACTTTTTGGAACACTAAGTGTTTAGTTTATTTGATGAATATTAAAGTTACAGCGCTTCAAAGTCATTTTTGAAAATAATTTTTCGCCTCCTATGTTATTTCAATGGGAGAGTTTTTTTGAAAAACAATTTTGACTTTAAAGCCCTATAACTTTGTTGAACCTTAAGATACATATCAATTTTTTGTTAAATAAAGTTAGCAAATTCAATTGCCTGCCTAACTTGTATTTTTTGCAAGGACTCGGATGGATGGATATTCTGTCATATGACTTGCGGCAAACCTACCATTTCCCATTGGTTAACATGGGAATGACGATTTTCAAAAAATCATCACATTTATCATAACTTTTCGACCTATTGTAATTGAGGAAAAAAATTGAGAAAATTTTGAGGTATTCGAATTAAAGTTAAATTACGTTTCAATCAATAGTATAAGTATTTTCATCGCAGGTTAAGTAAATAAAAATTCAAAGGTAAAGAGGCTTTAACACGTAGTTCAATGGGGGAAAAAGGGTTGCCAAACTTATGGAGGGGAGTGTATATATCGGTAGTTGGTGATGTTAAGTTATTATCCCATCGAACGAGTTCGGGGGACATAGGGAACCATTCAGTGCTTCCGTCCCTACGCCTGTACGTCCGTTCGTACGCCCGTCTGTCTGTGCAATAACTAAATACTTTTGGACCAATATCGTTTAGTTTAGTTAAGTTTTCGGAATGACCGCTTTTGTTCATACTAGATATGTGAAAACGCATAAGCATGGCACGAGTGAGTTGAGACAGTTTGGCTGGCAGGCAGCCATTTTGAAAATGGCCACCATTTTGCCATGTTTTATTATACGTTTTTACTGTAGCTCGAAAGGTATAGGAGTGGATTTGTTCATATTTGATATGTAAATACTCATAAGCATGACACATTGTCTTATTCCATTTTGTCTAGGAGACAGCCATTTTGAATAATGGCTGCCATTTTTATGTGTGTTATTTTACTCTTGCCACTCAAAAAGTACAGCGGTTTTGTATGTGCCCTCTTAGAAGCATATTACACCTTTTTTTGATAACAAGTAAGCTGTCATGTTTGTGTTATTTACTGATTTTTCCTATAACTGAAGAAGTAGTAGAAGAAATTTGTAAAAATGGCTCTTCGATGGGATTTGCTATGCCTTGGTGTTGCTATTATTTAATTTACTTTTTCACGTTACAGGTTCTGACATAACGATAAATTTCATCGACAACCAATTGCACATTGTCCGCAACATGTCAGTCAAAGTCACCAATGTCGAGTCTGTTGCTGTAGCGATTGCCTCTACAGCTACATTCTCAGAAAGAGTAAGTACGATCTATTTTATACTACTAGTCCAAACTGCTCATTCCGTCTAGAATTAAAGATATAGGTGGCTCTTAGATGGTTTTTGCTTCGTTTTCGTAACATTTTAGTTTTTTGATTTGTCACCTCAAAAACTAAAAAACTAGAGCTTAACATAAATAATGTTTCAGCTTTATCTCAAATTAAATCTAATTTTCATCACACTTTGAAATAGTGCCATGTTGTTCTTGTTTCAGGTGTTAAATATTTATGACATTTGGCTGTAGCTTCCATAATTAACTACAATATTTTGGGTTACTTGAATTAATGAAGTATATCCTTTCATCTAAAGAGCCTGTTAACTGGATTTCACGAATTTGTTCTATATGAAATAGACCAAAAATATTTCTTTCCTATGATATATAGTAATTTCAAATGGTGTTTACATGTATGTATATTTGATACACTATTTCAGTATGAATTAGACATCGAAAACGGGGTGGCTAAGGTAGACTTTTTGAACGAATTAAGTGATGGTGTCAATGCAAGAGAAATAAAGATCACTATCAAGAAGAAAGTTCAAACGGAACCATTCTATCTTTCTAACTTAGAAATACACACTTGTGACCAAGGTAAGTTCTTTTTAAAGTCCCTATGTAAATGGTCATATATTTTCCACAAGAAGCCATGGACTCGTATCAAATCAGGAGTTACCATGCTATAATTGACTGATCTAAACTCATCTGAACTCCAAAATATGCAAATCATCTCATCAAAAGTATTGTAATATAAAAAGGCATTTAAAATACAAAATGTCAGGATTTTTATAGAATGCTTAGAGCTGCCAACAAAAGAATGTGAACCAAAGTGTGGACATAATAGCTGCGCAGAGGATGAATACCAATGGACTATCGAACAATGCTTCTGTCGGTCTGGTTATTCACAGCAGATTTCTTATGATTCCTCAGTTCTATACTGTAAAAAGGACACACCAGCTCCATGCGTATGTGAACACAATAATGTGACACTTATGGTAAGCTATACAACAGATACCATTAAGTTAATACATGCATCTGTACTGTGCCATTATATATATAATAGGATTTTATTAGTACTGATGCCCTTTTAGGGCCAAACGTACATCCGACATACAATTTTCAATAACAGTAAATGTAGCAATAAAGTAAAGAAAATAGGATTACATTCTTCAAATGACATATAAAATGTTACTTTGATATTAGAATCCTGTCTCTACCAATCATTAGATAATTTATCATGTAAGCAGATTCTTTTAATATGCCAAAGCAAAAAAAATTAAAAAGCATCATCATACCAACGTTAAGTAAATACTAACCTTTCACAAAAACTGAGACTTATTTTGTTAAGTGGCATAATGTAAAAAGGAAATGTAATTTTGTTTTAAGGAAAATATGGTGAGAGAAGTTGGTTGTGAGAAATACACTTGTGGCAGTGATGGTATCATGATGATTGATGACAAACTCTGGTAAGCTATTTTATTGTATAAGCTGTTAACAAAACAATGAAATACATGAAACCCTAATGTTGATTCTATTTATTCGCATGCACAAATGCTTTTGGTTTTAGTGCAACAACTGCAACCGTACCAACCTTCCCTATAACCTCAACAGGTGCTCCTACTACAAGTTCTGTGGCTACTACCACTGTTACAATTGAAGAATGCAAAGACATGGGAAACTGCTTCATTGATAACAAATGCATGGTGGTAATTAGACAATCCATTTTAATTTATGTCATCATTTATCCCGTATTCAAGCAGGAAGTATTAAAAGGCAGAATCAGATATATGGGGGTGAAAAAATTACAAGCAACATGTACAATTGACCTACTAATCTATTCCTTACAATCTCAAGTACAAAATCTCAAAAAAGATTCACAATATGTTATACATTGATGAAGTTATAACGGATTCAAAGTTCAAAAATGAGTGAAAAATGTTTAATTCTCCCAAATAATAATAATGGTAACCATTCTTATAGAAAAATAATACGTTATTGTAAATATCTTTAGTTTTCCTGTATGCACTTTGGTGATTTTAAGAAAATAGACTTGAAAAGGAATGACATGAGCCAGAAATATTCTAAAATTGAAACAATTTTTTGTTGGGCTGCTCGCTAGATCTGATTCTCTCTTTAATAATTAACACAAAGAAAAATATATCTAAAATAGCAGAAACCTACCTACGCTTATTGCTCAATTTGTGAATGTGAGGTCCTTGATTGTCGCTTGTTTCCACTATTTGTGAAATAACACAGAAAACATTTTATTTCTTGAAATTCGGGCCTATGTCACTGGTGATCCAATGAAATGAAAATGAAAAAAAAACAGAAATGCATGACATTTTCGGTCACTGTGACATGGCTTGACATTATTCGACCTAAAAATTTACTAAAAACGCCTTACCATTTTCGGAACATGCATTCCCGCAGTAGGATTGATTCATATGTTCCTTTGGTAGTTTTGTTATATTCACAGAAGAAAGGATATCTGATGTCCATGGTGCATACATTAGGTTTATTTCAGAAGAAATATAATTTAATACAATTTAATAAACATTTTTGAATCATTATGATAATACATGATAATTATTCTGTGTATTGTTTATAGTTTTATGTCCCCATCACAAAGTTTGGGGCCATATTGTATGTCCATCTGCTGTCTGCTTTATGTATCCTGTTTAATAAATACGGCGGAAATAATCTTCATACAATACCTACCTCCTGTCGGCCATTTTGAAGTCAAAACTTGGAATCCTTTGAAACTCCATCATTTTGTATTTTCCGTCTTAAAGACTTATCTGCACGTTTCTAGCTGAACTGTTTCATGGATCAATCTGAAACCTTCAGGGTTTTTTCGTATATATTGTTTATTATATCTTTATTTCCCGTATCAGAGATACGGAGCAAAAACATCTACAACTGGTTGGTCTTTTGGCATGCAGTCTGTATATAGAAATACCCAATGATGGGGACATGTTGTGCACATATGTGTCATTGTATTGATGTGTATACATGCATAATAAATTTCATTGAAATACAGTTGTAGAAAACTATGACAAAAACTTTTTATCAAACATATTTAGAGCGGGTCTTCGTGGAGCCCCGAGGACAATGACTGCACGACCTATACATGTGAAGATGGTACAATTAGTACTACAATAGAAAGATGTGCTGAAGTGATTTGTAACGAACAAATGGGACAGTATCTGACAAGATCGGATGGATCGTGCTGCAGCAAATGCAGTAAGTTACTACAGTAAAGCAACTATTTATACAAATAATACCACATGTAGGTCAAAGAATAATGTACATTTTGTCACTGACTTTATGATATATACCGTAAGCCGTTTGAAAGTATGCTTATTATCAAACACCTTGAGATCCTCATCTTATGTCATCTCATGAAATAACCAACATAGGCATCTAGAATTAGATTTGAGGTATGATTCAAACAGTTATGGCTTGTGTACCGTGGGCTTCATACATATTATTTAAGGAATATAGACTGAAGAGCAGGGCTACTAGTTTCGAATACACCCCGCAGGTCTAGGCACAAACGTTTTCTGTACCCCGAACGACTGAAGGGAGGAGGTCTATATTACGAATCGAACATGAAAACTCACCAGAATATTGCAAAATCGTCAATTTCGATGTTCATTTCCACTTTTTTCATTTCTACTTCCGTTCGAGCGTTTTGCTGTTCGAATTTGTTTACTTACCTCCTGACCCCGACTTAAGTATTGACATTTCGGCCTATTTTATTGGTTTCACGCATATCTACATGTACTACGTCACGGCGGATATCCATATAACTGAGTAATCACTGCATTTTTCTAAGTTCTTTTGATGACCAATGAGTGCACTGAACGAAACAGAGCCGGGGATTTGATCTCGAATATAACCAGCTGAAGCATTGACTTTGTTCACAGTTTAAAGAAGGCATGAATGCAGTCATGTTCGAATATATTATACATACAAATTACAAGAATAAATAAAGAAACTATGCTTGACGTGAAATTAAATATGCGTGTGGTTTTCAGCCAAGGTCTGTACGGGAACTGGGGTTCATCATTGTGATGGAGTTGATGATTGCATTGATGGGTCTGATGAACAACTCCTGAAATGTAATGAGACTTATAAATGTCCACACAAGACCATGGAAATGTAAGTGTACAAATCTTACCATTTAATGCATTGTCCTGGATTTTGAGGCTAGCTTCCCTTTTCATTTCGTTTGATATAGTATTTAGAATTGTTTGTTTAATTATTTCAGCTCTACAAAATGTAATGACGTAGATCTGACAAAAAGTAGGAGCTGTTCTTACTCTATCGACTTCGATAATTACCCTGTAATGTTGAATACGACTAGTACACATTGCTGCTTGTGTAAGGAAGGTCAACACTACAATGGAACAGATTGTGTCCCTATTGATCAATGCGGTTGTGAATTTAATGGCACCATGTATAATGTAAGAGCTTCTGATATAATGTAAGAACGTCTGATATATTTTAGTCATTCTTTGCAAGTTGTGTGTTGGCAAATGTTTTTTAATACGAAAATAAATGTATATATTTTTAGAACATGGATGTCTGGATTTACGACTGTGTGAAGCATATATGTAAGTCTGGCAATGTTGAAAGGGATACAACTCGGGTTCATTGTAATGAGTGTAAGGTAAGTTTTTTAAATCAGATACTACAATACCACTACAAATAAAAGTTTAATATACAGTGTTCTAGCTAGGCTAGTAGAATAATTAGATTTTGTTTATCACCAAGAATTATCTACGCTACGCTCATTGAATTTATTTCCAAATAATTCTCTTTTTATATTTATCAGGAAATTTGAGGCATTATTAGCCATTTTGCAAATTAAGATATCTCTCAATCAACGAAAATCAAAAGTCTGAAAATATATATGACAGTGTAATGTCACTAATAATACAATTGTTGCGTCAATCTGTAGGCCTCGCAAACACCTTTACTGATGGATACTGATGATTGCTGTGAAACATGCGTCGGTAAGACTATACCTCATTCCATTGGTTTGCTCTATAAATCTACATCTAAATCTGCATCTTTTTGTATTCCGAAGTAAAGTAATTAGTTGTTTTCTCTGCCATCACATCTTCTCTTCCATTTTCTAAAATAGTAATTTCTTAAATATCACCATGGTTATTCAAATAATAATAATAATATACTTTGGCCCCTTAAATAATTCGATTCAATATTTTTTCTTGGTTTATTTAAATTTTAAAGCTAAAAAACAAAATTCCAATGAGAATTTAACGTGGCGTGAACAATAATCAAAAATATGCAAATCAGGGAGTAAGTATGTTTATGGCAGTTGTACTTCATACGCATAACGTTATTGAGGGGTATGCACTACAATGGACCATCTTAAAGATACAACTAAAAGCTTTTTATAAGTACTCAATTAGAAAGTCTTAATCACTATCACTTTTTGAATCTGTTTCGAGATGATTACAACGTCCCTTTCCTCAATACGATATTTTCTCCTACCCATCTCTAAGTAAACTTAATACAACTGGATTTGAAATTATCCATTGGTATATGTACAATAATATTACCGGGCAGGGGATTGCATTGCTTACGAAAATCACAGTGGTCATCCCATGCATGAAGTTGATTTTCATTTGTCTATGATTTGACATTGGTTGTTCACTTAAATAGGGACCCACTGAAATATTTTCAGATTAAATAGATTGTGCCATTTAAAATTCTCATTTGGAATTTTATTTTCTAGCTTTAAGATTAAATCAATTGAATAAAAATTATTGAATCACAAATTCATTTGCCTTGTCGATAAAATTGTTTTTTGCAAATTATCGCAAAATGATCATTTCTAATGCATTGACTTAGACTTTAATACGTTTCAGAATGCAAGAAAGAATCTGCCATGACCGATATCTTCACAGTTGTATATCTTAACAACGAAAAATTAGAATCGCCAGAAAACACATTGACACACCTTTCCTTCAATGAAAGCAGCGATTACACGATTCGATTTGATTTTGGCTATTACAACAGTGACGTGTCTGTAACGAGTATAAACGTCCGTGCAGTTGACATTGCTGATGGAACTGCAAACGATTATTTTAGTCTAACAAGTGTCGATTACTCAAACAATGATGGACCTACAAAATCCGTGGATGTAAGTTTACAAAAATATCGTTTTCTCCAAGCAACTATTTGTGTATTGTAACCGCCGAAAATTAGACAAAATAAGTGGAGTAGGGAGTATAGAATTTCTGTTAGAAAATTTGATAAATTTGCAATTTTCAAAACAAAAATTAAGAATGTATTGGTTAAGTATGTGTTGTTGTCATTAAAGATGCCATTTCATGCACCATTTATATTCTATGATGACGGTTTTTAGGAAAGCGCACTTTTGGAGATATCAGTTACAGGTTATGAACCATCACCTGTGTTACAAGCGACGGGATTGTCCATTCATGTGCGAACATTGTCATCAGTTACACTACTCGTTGATGTAGAAATATGTAAACCTTTAGTGAGCGGATCAACAGTAACATCAAGTGCAACTACAACACCAGTAACAACAACTGAACAAGGTAAAGGGTGACACAAAAATCCCAACCACTAATTTTGGTATAACTTTCTCAATAAATTAAGGATTCTTCGTGAGTTTTTGTGAAGATAAAATGTTCAATGGATAAAGGTTGTTGTATTTGATAGCACGAGATCATATTTTCTCGAGAAAATAGTCTGTTCAACTGTTCAAAAATACAATTTTCTGAAACTGTAATATCTGTCTTAGCCATTTCTGGATTGCTTTCACTAGCTTTTACATAGGTTATCGGTAATATGCCATATCTACATATCTTTCGTTTTCTAATTTTGTCAAATTTGATGAACTGACTCACTCATTGGGTCAATTTTAAGAAAGACAGATTTTCTTTTATAGTTCGAATTACCACCCAGGTGCTACACGATTAAGTGAATCCGAAATCTCAATAATACTTTTTCTATAATAGTCTATATTTCTTTATTTATATTGTGTTATACAAATCAAGATCAATGATCAGGTCATATTTTAAGCCAAAACCTTCTCGCAGCAATCAATATTTCATGAAAGTTAGTGTGGATGTTGAATAGTTCATACTGATCTAACGTTTTCGTTGTGATCCCTGACTCATTTGAAGCATAATTTTACTTTCAGGCTCTACAGTATCAAGTTCTGCTTCACCCAGTACAACGACATTAGCTTCGACAGCACAACCTTCCACAAGTAAGACTTTGTAATAGTTTACAGGATTATTGTGTTTTCTGATGTTTCTAAACCATTTTCGATAAATAAAGTCATATTGGTGCCACTAGATTTAAATACATTATCGTTGTTTCAGAAACCACACAAACTATTACTGAAGAAATTTCAACAGGAACTAACTCTGGTAAATTTAGTAACTATTGCTTTTAAGAGGTGTTAATGAACAAAGTGTGTGGGGAATTATTGTAACACTAATCAGTCAGAGAGTTATTGAGTAACGTTCTTCGCAATGTAACCTATAGCCAATACTGAACACATACCTTCTTAAAGAGCCTATGGATGTGAAACGTGTGCTAGGAATATATTTTGAAGCTATATTTAAAGACGTTTAATGATGGAGATGACAGATAGAAGTCAACTCAACAGTTTTCCAGTAATCTATCTTGAAAAACCTAATATGCTTAGTTTGATACCCACATACAACATATCAGCATGATCAATAACGGAATACAACTTTACATATTTCATTTATTCAATGTTCACTGTGTTTTTTAATGACAGCGTGTATAGATCCTCTTGTAACTGCCTTTGTTAAATTATACCATTTGCGTATTATTTTCAATGCAAGGTACAACATCTGTAACTAGTTTCACAACTGAACAAAGTACAACACTTGCACCAGGTACAACATCTACACCAGGTACATCATCTGGAACAAGTACAACATCTGAAACAGGAACAACACTCAGAACAAGTATGCAAAATTAGTTTATTCATTGACATTTACATCTTAGTTGTCCAGAAAGAAAAGTAGATAAGTTAGACTGCAATTAATACTCCTTCGACGCATGTCCATGCCTTGTGAAACTATTGATAATGTTTAATGAAGAGATAATTTCCTTTTAGGGGAATCCACATCTGGAACTCCTGTCGTCACAACCATGGCACCATGTACATATGTTGTCAAAATGAGTGATGCGAATGTGGTTGACTTGACACAAAGTGAAATATTGAATGAAAATGGAGAATTCACACAAAGACCAGATCTAGGTGCTTTAACCGATGATAATCCTAATACAAAACTTGTTGGACAGTTTAGTTCAACGACAGAGTCACAAACTTTAATTATGTCTACAATGCTTAAAACTAACAACCAAGATGTTGAAATAAGCAGTGTGCTACTAACAGGACTGCAAAACGTTGAAATCGTTACTGTCACAATCAAGAATACAGATGGCAACAATGTGGAAACGGTATGAACACATAGTAGTTTCATAGAAATAAATGTTACTGATTAAAACCGAAGACACATGAAAGGAAAAACACTAAAAAATGTAGTGTTGTTCACTTTGTCGAATTAAATTTGAAATACGTTCCAAAACTTACATCATCCTAAGATAAAAACAAACTTGTTTGAGTTGTCAATGCTTGGTCATCCAGTCAAATTCCAGCTTCTTTCAAGTTACCTTTAATTAAAGCAATATTAAACACAAATTTTATAGACCATGTAAATGACATTTGCCTTTAAATGTAAATTTGGTTTACCAATATATCTTATGAGCTTATGAGACTAAATGTCCAATTAAATACCAATATATTGAATAATAAAATTTTAGGATGAGTAGCCATGAACATCTAAAGTCAGTACACTATAATAAGGTAATTTGCTGATTTTTAGAAATCTGAAGACGTTGCTGGCGGGTCTGCCAAGATTACTCTTCCTCAACATACTGAAGGAGTTGAAGTTATCATATCATACAGTGTGATGACCGACACAACTTTTGAAATCGGAGATATGACAATAATTGCTTGCATAGAAGAAACAACATCGGTTGGAACAACTGCTGTGCCAGCCACGACAAGCCAAGGTATGAATTACATGCAGTATTTATTATTAAAGATGAACTAAATCCTTGCAATATAAACTCATATTTTTTAAGCCACATTAGAATCTTAATCGATGAGGCATAATAAATATATGCTTTCACTTTTATGATCTGCAGACTAAATTATTAGCCATGAGTTGGAGATATTGGATATATTCCAGCAACAATATTTTATAATTCGATTTTATTCCCCAGTGTTAGAGGATTTAGTGAATTTAACATCTCAATACTTGGGTATTCATTTTTCTAAACATTAGTCCATATTTATTAACATTGTGTTATACAAATCAAAGTCAATGATCAAATTATGTTTTTAGCCAAAATCTTCTAGTAATCAATATATCATGAAGGTTAGTGTTGAAGTTGAATAACTTACCTAACGTTTTAGTTGTGATCCTCATCTCATTTGAAGCATACTTTTACTTGCAGCCTCTACAGTATCAAGTACTACTTCACCCAGTACATCATCATTAGCTTCGACAACACAGCCCTCCACTAGTAAGACTTTTTTATGATTTACTATATTACTGTATTTTCAGATGTCGTTTAAACCATTTTTCAATGAATAAAGTCACCTTGTTGCTGTTAACTTTAAATGCAGTATCATTGTCTATGTTCTAGCATCGTCAAGCTCTACATTTACTACAGAGTCTGGTGTTAAAGATCAGACACAAACGACAACAACACCATTGATGCCAACAGGTATGCACACTCCAACACAAGGCACAGCTTCAGCACCATCATCAACTGGAGCAACAACACTTTCAGGAACCACACAAACTGCTACTGAAGAAATTTCAACAGGAACAAACTCTGGTAAATTAAGTACATAATGCTTTTGAGAGACATTAATAATAGATGAAGGATGTGGGGTTTTATTGTAACACTTATGAGTTAGGGAGTTATTGACTGATGTTCCATGATATTTAATCTATAGCAAAAACTGAACACATGGAAATGACATCACACCTTTCTCTGGAGCCATTACGGGTCACAATTATGCTGGAAATTTACTTTGGAAGCTATATTTAACGATATTTAGTGATGAAACTGGTATATAGATATTGAAGATTTCCAGATAAAATATCTTGATTTACCTAATATGCTTAGTTCGATACCCACATGCAACATATCAGCATGTTAAGACAATATAACTCCACAAAATTCCTTTATTCAATGTTCACTCGTGTTTTTAAGATGACGCTTGTGTAGATCCTCGTGTAATTGCTTTTGTTTTATTATACCATGTGTATATTATTGTCAACGCTAGGTACAACGTCTGTAACCAGTTTCACATCTGCTCAAAGTACAACATTTGCACCAGGTACAACATCTACACCAGGTACATCATCTGGAACAAGTACAACATCTGAAACAGGAACAACACTCAGAACAAGTATGCAAAATTAGTTTATTCATTGACATTTACATCTTAGTTGTCCAGAAAGAAAAGTAGATAAGTTACACTGCAATTAATACTCCTTCGACGCATGTCCATGCCTTGTGAAACTATTGATAATGTTTAATGAAGAGATAATTTCCTTTTAGGGGAATCCACATCTGGAACTCCTGTCGTCACAACCATGGCACCATGTACATATGTTGTCAAAATGAGTGATGCGAATGTGGTTGACTTGACACAAAGTGAAATATTGAATGAAAATGGAGAATTCACACAAAGACCAGATCTAGGTGCTTTAACCGATGATAATCCTAATACAAAACTCGTGGGACAGTTTAGTTCAACGACAGAGTCACAAACTTTAATTATGTCTACAATGCTTAAAACTAACAACCAAGATGTTGAAATAAGCAGTGTGCTACTAACAGGACTGCAAAACGTTGAAATCGTTACTGTCACAATCAAGAATACAGATGGCAACAATGTGGAAACGGTATGAACACATAGTAGTTTCATAGAAATAAATGTTACTGATTAAAACCGAAGACACATGAAAGGAAAAACACTAAAAAATGTAGTGTTGTTCACTTTGTCGAATTAAATTTGAAATACGTTCCAAAACTTACATCATCCTAAGATAAAAACAAACTTGTTTGAGTTGTCAATGCTTGGTCATCCAGTCAAATTCCAGCTTCTTTCAAGTTACCTTTAATTAAAGCAATATTAAACACAAATTTTATAGACCATGTAAATGACATTTGCCTTTAAATGTAAATTTGGTTTACCAATATATCTTATGAGCTTATGAGACTAAATGTCCAATTAAATACCAATATATTGAATAATAAAATTTTAGGATGAGTAGCCATGAACATCTAAAGTCAGTACACTATAATAAGGTAATTTGCTGATTTTTAGAAATCTGAAGACGTTGCTGGCGGGTCTGCCAAGATTACTCTTCCTCAACATACTGAAGGAGTTGAAGTTATCATATCATACAGTGTGATGACCGACACAACTTTTGAAATCGGAGATATGACAATAATTGCTTGCATAGAAGAAACAACAACGGTTGGAACAACTGCTGTGCCAGCCACGACAAGCCAAGGTATGAATTACATGCAGTATTTATTATTAAAGATGAACTAAATCCTTGCAATATAAACTCATATTTTTTTAAGCAACATTAGAATCTTAATCGATGAGGCATAATAAATATATGCTTTCACTTTTATGATCTGCAGACTAAATTATTAGCCATGAGTTGGAGATATTGGATATATTCCAGCAACAATATTTTATAATTCGATTTTATTCCCCAGTGTTAGAGGATTTAGTGAATTTAACATCTCAATACTTGGGTATTCATTTTTCTAAACATTAGTCCATATTTATTAACATTGTGTTATACAAATCAAAGTCAATGATCAAATTATGTTTTTAGCCAAAATCTTCTAGTAATCAATATATCATGAAGGTTAGTGTTGAAGTTGAATAACTTACCTAACGTTTTAGTTGTGATCCTCGTCTCATTTGAAGCATACTTTTACTTGCAGCCTCTACAGTATCAAGTACTACTTCACCCAGTACATCATCATTAGCTTCGACAACACAGCCCTCCACTAGTAAGACTTTTTTATGATTTACTCTATTACTGTATTTTCAGATGTCGTTTAAACCATTTTTCAATGAATAAAGTCACCTTGTTGCTGTTAACTTTAAATGCAGTATCA